TTAATTGTCAAAATCTCTGCTTGTAAAAAAAAATTAATGACCAAAAAGTGTAACTTCTAGAGTTTCAAAGACTAGGTTAATGTCCAAGGAAGTGTAAACTTTGACCTTTCTGACACATGTCATACGTAACATCTACCCTCATAAATTGCTACCTGTGAGCAATTATAAAACTTCCCCTGCATCCAGTCATGCAATTTAATTGCTGGCTTCCTCACAGATAGTCTGGAGAGTTATTTGCTGCCAATGGGAGTCGTTTTCTGTTTGTTCCAGGGAGGTGTGTGCTCGCTGGATCTCCTCACGTGGAGAGGCTCGCACAGAGGCACAGAGGCTGGACCCAGCCTTGAACCGGGAAGGACGAGGGAATGAAGTCAGGCTTCCAGGACCCAGGGCCACCCCGCAGCTGGGGACCCGTCATTTCGTGTCACTTGTCCCTTTAAGAAAGGCCAAGGTGGGCTTGGCCCTGACTCCCAGTCACCTGCAGACAGTCCAGCTGGACCCAACGGGCGACAGCGGCTTTTCTTAACGCGGTCCTGTCCGCACGCTGGCCTGGGACTGCCCCCGCCACTCATGCCCATTGGCCGGGCAGGCAGATGGCCCCGCTACACCCACTTGGGGTCCCAGGGCCCCCTTATAATTCTCCCACTCGTCTGGAAGATCCCAGTATGTTGGCGAATCTGCAGTGGAGTGAATGTGGACCAGAAGATGATCCTAATTCCCTGGGACGGTAACTGCTGTGTGGGAACGGAGTCACCCTCCCCCCACCTGGTCAGGCGATGGCCACTCCCCCCCACCTGCACCCCTCCCCCATCCCAGGAGCTGAGAGCCATCAGTGTTCCTGGGCTCCTGGCTGGGGGCTGCTCGGTCTGGGCCGTCCCTGCCGGAGGACGGCTGGCCTTCACGCACTTGGCCGAAAGGGACGAGCCACCTACCTGCCCACACAGCTTCTCTGCGGAGGCGGAAGGAGACAAGGCCGCTCTCCGCTTTGCGAAATGGCATGGTCAACATCTATCTGTGAAATACCCCTTCGCTGGAGGAGCTTAGGGTTGTGTGTTTCTGGGGTACCTAGTCCCAGGGGAAGGGCCTCTGGCCAGGAGGGAGGGAAAGGGGTCTGGGACTGGAGGAGAGACTGGGCGAAGCCCCATTCTCCTTCTTCTTCCATCCAACTGTTCCAACCTCCTCCACCCCCCTCATTCTGGTCCTCTGAAACCCTGAGCTGAAACCCAAGGGGTGTTCCGACTGGACACCTCGCATTCCACTGAAGTCTGGGTCAGACAGGCTCGCGCTAGGTATTCTGGCAACTGCTGCCGCCCAAATCCAGCAAGACCTTTCCCATAATTTGTGTGTGAAAAAACAGGAATTCCCTGCAGGGGCATTCAGGCCACCCGGCCAGGGAAAGGGATGGGATCACAAAGAGGCTGTTCAGGGGGCACTCAAGGGGGCTCTCCACCGGCAGGGGGCACTGCCCCATCCTTCTAGCACTTCTAGTAAAGGCTGGAACATTCAGAGGTGGTAGCACCACCCAGCGTGAACTGGACGGTGAACTGGACGGTTCCAGTTAACTCATATGGATACATTTTTTAAATAAACAAATAGGTTTCCACTTGAGCCAGCTGCAAAAACAGAACCCACGACCGGGCACTGAATGGGCCAGGCGAAGGCACAGGCTGGCGGGCAGTGGCCGCCACCCCTGCCCAGGTCTGCCCTGGGCTGGGGAGCCTCAGCCGCCGTCCGGCCTCAGGCCAGACTGACCGCCTCTTCACAGCCACCCGCCTGGGAGGAAAACCAAGGCCCCTGCGGCCCTCCCTGGTGGCGCAGCGGGTTAAAGCACTGCACAAAGAAGCTTAAGCCACTTCCGCATGAGTTCGATCCCCGTCTGCCCCAGAGGAGATCCACATGGCGCGGCAGACCTCTCCTGGCCCGCCCGCTGCTCCCCTCAGCAGTGTACTTCGTCAATCTGCCTGTTCTGCTGCTCCCCACTCTGTCCCTGGTGAATACTCTCATCCTCCGCATCTCTGGCCTGTACCCCAGTTTTGTATGAATAAATAAATAAATCTTTAAAAAAAAAAAAAAAGAAAGAAAGAAAACCAAGGCCCCTGCTCCAGGGCGAGGCCAGCGTGCGGGGCCCTGGTCCGGCCCAGGTCTCCAGCAGCTGTGGGTCTCAGGTGGGCATCTCCTCGCCAGGCGTGGGCTCAAAGCAGTACGTGCGTACGGCGGGAGGCGGTGGGAGGACACGGGCCAGAGCGGTCACTCACCGCGCAGAGACTGGCACCAGAAAAGTAAGGTTTGCAGGAAGAAAGCGGGGCGGTGCCAGGCTGGGGCCTCCTGTGGGGGTCCGCAGAGGAGATGAGCACGTGTCCGCCCCCACCCCCATCCAGGCCGCCTCCAGCCCTTCCCTCTCCTGCCACCGCGGAAGCGCGGGCACCCCCTTAGGAGACAGGGCTCGCTCTGCGGGTGCCAGTCATTGGAAATGGTGCCCGGTCCTCCCTTCGGGGCCGTGGGCCAGCTCCGGAACAACACCCCCTGCACAGCACATGGCCCTGGGCACCGGGCTGGAGTCTCTGCCGGGGCAAAGGCGGGGCCGGCCCAGGGCCACGTCCCTCCGGCCGGTGCGGCCGCTAGCACCTTCCGCCCCCAGGGCTCAGGTGAAGAAGTAATCACCACCTGCCAGATGCTCAGCGCCAGGCCTGCACTTTGTCCGCCGGCCCTTCAGAGACCTCTGGTGGGCAGCACGCGAGGTCCTCAGGGAGGCCACGACGTGCCCTGGCCCGCTCAGGCAGGCCGTGGGCTGCGCGCTGAGCGCACATCTCAGCTCCCTCCGCCTCCCAGCCCTCTGGAAATGACCAGGAAAGCAAGAGCCCCCTCCCCGCCCTGACAGCACCCTGCTCGTGCCAGTCGCCGCCTCTGAGGCGGGCGGCCCAGTGGCGGGAAGCTGTGGGGGCCCCCACGTGGCTGCCCGCGTCGGGGCAGCTGCCTGGGCTGGGGCAGCCTGGCCCTGGCTGCGAGATGCAGGCTGAGCCGGCCCCACCCGCCTCCCGCACAGACCTTCCAACACAGGGCGACAGTGACCCGTCCCTCCCGTCCCTCCCGTCCCTGTCACCCAGGACCTGCCCTGCAGTGGCATTTCAATAACAAATTTGCCACCGCATTTAAATACATTCAAGTTACTCAAATTCAATTTACATGCAGAAGTTTAGGAATACATTATATAAGGCGCCGCTGATTAAAACAGTAGGTGACCCTCAGTGAGGTTATTGATTCTACCCCACCCCCACCTGCCACTGACATTTACATGGGAGTGAGCCAACTTCGTGGGTCGGGTTATCAGTTATACCCTATTAAACAGGCTTGTTTTGCCAGATCAATAAGAATGCAAACAGCACCAAGATCACATGGAACGTGTCTCGCTGTAGCCATGGTTACTGTCAAGTTTCAGGTCTTCCTCAGAGACCCCCCCAAACAGCCACCAGGGAGGGTCGTGGTGGCTGCTGTGGGTTTCCAGTACTGTCTTTGGACCGGGTTTATCTTTGTTAGTTGTCTCATCGCCACCGGTAGCCAGTAGCCACACGGAGCAGCGAGTGGCGACTTGCCAGTTCCCTCCCCGCCTGTGAAGGTGAACGCAGCGCCGCCGGTCCGTTAGGGACCTGGGAACACGTCACCGCTCAAAACACCAAACACGTCTCGCCGTGCGCGTAGCCGTGCTGGGGGCTGCTATCGGCTGCCAGTTTGGGTGGCCAGGGAGACCCGAGTTCTGAACTGCTAACACGGCAGCTCAGAGCCCAGCTCAGCTACGGCGCCGTGTCTGGCCCCGGCAGACCCCGGCTGCGCGGCCAGTTCCCCGAAAGCACTAAGGAGAAATAAAATGATTAGAGAGAACTCTTCCTGACTGGGGGGGTGGGGGCTCTCCACTGCGGGGTAACCACCTCCCTCCACCCTCAAATGCAGGAGTCGGGGCCAAGGGGTTGGTTGGCGGTGCTGGGTGCCCGGCGGCAGGGGCAGGGCGGGGGCGCCGGGCTCGTCACGAAGCAACTCCTTGGCCTGGCCAGTGCTCACCCCACGGCGTGTCCAGAACCCACACGCTGGTCGGGTGAGTGTGGGGCCGGCGTGGCTGTGGGGGGCAGCGAGTGGGCAGCCGGCGCCCGAGTTTCTGTGCCAGGACTCTGGTCAGCGGGAAGCGGCTGTTATCAGCGCCCCGTGGTTCTGGCACCAGTCCCAGCTGGTCCAGCCCTGGGTGCCCCGGGGCGCGTCTCCTAGGTCTGAACTGTGTTTAGACACGAACTTCTCTGAAAGTCATATTCAATACCAGCCATGTTTAATCCATTCAGAAACAGACTCACACGGGAGCCACGGAAGTTCTGGTACCAGGGCTGACACAGGGGATGCCGCCCCGCGTCCCCAGCCGTGAGCCACCTGAGTGGCTCCCGTGTGACTTGGGAGGCTGATACCTGGGAGGCCCCGGCCTCAGGCTGCCGGGGCGCGCGTCCTCTCCCCGCGGCATTCCAGGTGTTCGCACGGACAGCTGGGACACCCCGGCGCCCTCAGGGAAAGCCGAGGCGCCCGCCCCGTGCAGCGCGCCCACCTGCCCTCTCCGTGGGCCCAGGGAAGCGGGCATCAGCTCTGCAGGGCTCGGCCCCTCCAGGGGAAACAAGGCGGGCGTCCTGGAGGGGGCTCTGGGCCTCGTCCCCGGCACGGTCATGGCAGGCACCAGCTCAGGCCGTTTTCAGACCAAGTGGCGCTCCACAGCCAGGACACACCCGAGTGCGTGCGGACGGCTGTGGCGAGGGCGGCCTGGGAACTGGCCGGGGGGCGCCCCCTGCAACCCGGGCCCTCCCCAGGCGGTCCACATCCCTCCCTGGAGCGCCCGCAGCCCGCCCGCAGGCCCCGGGCACCCGATGGGCTCTGCCAGCTCTGCACCCCGCGGGGCAGAGGTGAGGAAGGGGCTCGGGGAGACGCACGGGGGCTGTCCCAGTCCCAAGAGGAGGAGTAGACGAAATCAGTCACACTGTCCTTTTAATAAGGCTTTTACTCAAAAGTGTAGCTTTGAAAATCTCTAGCTTGGTGTGGAACCTGGAAGAGCCGAGGAGCCCCCCAGAGCCAGGGAGCAGGAGGGGGAAGGACAAGTTCTTAGTACAGTGAAACAAACACAAAAAGTAAACAAGTCTTTAGAAATCACTAGCTGTGCGCGCGCGTTTATATAATCAGGATTATCATCAACATTCAAAACTATTAAAAGTAAGGCTGCCACCTCGCCTTTTCTCTTAGTACTGGTGTTTTTCAGGGAAAAAAAAAAGATTTTGCCCAGGCTTTCAAGGCCCGCAGCCTCAGTGCCCCCCGCGGGGCCGCCGCCGCCGGCCGCGGGAGGGGCAGGAAGCCCGACCCGTGGAGACCGGCCCACAGAGCGCGGCCGGGGCGGGCAATTCTTCCCCAGGAAGAAAACACACCCGCCCACGGCCGGGCTGCAGACTCCGGGCGCCTCCGCGAGGCTCTGCCGTCCGCTGTGAGCAGCCTGCTTGGCCCAGAGGCGAGGTGGCAACCTTAATCACCAAGGAAGCTAAATTTTTTAAATAACTTAAAAAAATCATCTCATATAAAGCAGCAAAAACATGTCTTCCTCCCCGCGGGAGGAGGAACGTACGAGAAACTCAGCGTGTGGGAGGCGTTCCTGGACTCGGCCACGCCCTGCGCCTCAGAGCTGCCCCGCGGCTCCGGCCACGCCGCCGGGCGCGGCTTCTTTGGCGTCCTCGGTCGCTCTTTTTCTTTCTTCTGGGTTTAAGTTCTCCTTTTCTGACCGGGGCCCGTTGGGGACAGAGTTCTGGCCGTTGAGCAGCCGCTGGCCGTCGGCGGCCTTGGCCCGGCTGACGGCCTCCGAGAGGGTCAGGGCCTCCTGCGCGCCGGCCTCCTCCTCCAGGCTGCGCAGCACCAGCGGCAGCCTCGAGTCCGCCCCGCCGCCCTCCAGCAGCCCCAGGCCGCTCTCCTCGTACTTGGGGAGCGGCGCCGCGGCCTCCATCTGCCGGCGGTAGTGCTCCCGGTTGGCGGCCGCGCTCCTCACGGCCCGCTCCAGGATCTCCTTCTCGCCCAGGCGCAGCTTGACGGCCATCGTCGCCCGCACGGACAGCTCCTGGTTTTTCAAGAAGGCCCTGTCCTCCTGAGGAAGAGAAAAGAGCAAAAACAACCCCAGGAAGTTATCTAAAGCAGCAAAGCTAGAGTGACAGAAGGCAGATCAGCTGGTGCTGGGGCTGGGGGCTTGAGGGAGATTTGAGGGGTGACAGAAGGTTCTAGAACTTGGCTGCGTGGGTGGCTGGCTGACTGTATGCCCTCACATCAAAGCGCACACTGGAGGAGTGTGAACTCCCTCGTCTGTGAAACACACCTCGCTAGAACTGTTACGGAACAACAGAGTGGGAGACGGTGCTCGGGCAGGGGCGCAGCAGACCCCCGCTGAGGGGGCGCCCAGGAGGGGCAGACAGCTTAGGTGCGAGGCGGCCTTTGAAGACACCACTGAAAACCTAGGTGTGCTGTGGTATCTGAATCAGCAATGGCACAAGAGTGCACAGGGATCTCCCAGGAATGGCCCTTCTCGCCCACAGCAGTGCCTCCGTGGGCTGCCCCGGGCCAGTGTAAACACGTCAGACAGAAAACTACCCATCAGCTGAATGAAATACACCAAATGCATGGTGTTTTTGCTGAAGAACACAGAAATTTGCATTTGGAAATCTTTATAAACGTCTTTGAAATAAATCGACCTCTAATTACCTCAATGGTGGTTTTGTATGTCTTTAGAAGAAGAGCGGCTCGGTCTTCGAGAAACGTCCACAGTTTGACCTCGTTGTCCCAGCTGACGGGGTACTCGGAGTTACCCAGGGTGAAGACTCTGTCGATCGCATTGTCTCCGAGCAAATGTCCCTTCAGCTCTTCTGCGAGGAACACAGAGCCATCTGTGAGCGGAAATGGCCACTTCCCCGGAGCCTCTCAGGGGTCTTTTCCTGCCAGTCAAGCCCCCTCCCCGTCCACAGGAAGGTTGTTCCCAGACTCCCCGAAGCGGTGAGAGCCCCCAGGCAGAGGGCCGCAGCTTGTTAACCGGGAAGGAGCCCGAGCCAGACGGCCAGTCTGCAGGCCGGGACTGTCCGGGTCCGTTTTGAAGGCCCACCCTCCCAGCCGCGCCCGGAGGCCCAGCGCAGTCGCACCCACGGGGTCAAAAGACATGCACGAGAACACGACACACAGGGCCCCACCCACCAGAGCCCCTTCATGTGGAGGCTGACAGGGGCTGCTTGCAGCAGCCGCCCAAAGCTCTGCACCTCGCCCTAAGTCAGCCCGCAACTGAAAGAAACAAGAAAATGGACCCGAAAAATCTTACTTAGTGAAAAATGTGCCCACGGCCCTCACTTGTCAGGAATTTAAATAGGACTTACAAACAAGCACAGCGAACATCTCAATTCCCTCGCAATACATTTAAGAAAAGGGAAGAATTCAGCGACTGCTCTGAGCTTTTTATCTCCTGGCACGTTATCTCCCGAAGACCAAAACACGCAGACCCTATTCACACTCGAGAAACAGACCCGGCTTCTTATGTAATTACGAGACAGTATCTCTTTCAGAGCAAAATGCCCACAGCTGTCACTATTTACAATTCAAATCCAAGAACTTCTGCTGCCAGCAAACCAAACTTTTATTAGTATTAGTTAGAGCCATTCAGAGAATACATCCATTGTCTCGCATGACAAATTGCTTTTCTATGACTAAAGAGAAGCTAAAGCGGAGCCACGGACCCAAATGATCCAAGCCGGGTTTCTAAAAAAAATAAGAAAACAGAAGTTAATCTAATGTTCAGAAAAAGAAATCTGGTACGTTATTTGTTAGCAAGACCAAGATGAAAATCCGGGCTCCGCGGCGGCCTGTGCTCGGGTGGCGGCCGGCACCCCCGGCGGCGGAGGCGGCACGGCGCACGCTCCTGTTCCTTCCTCCGCCCACCCAGCTCTGCCCTTCTGTGTCGGAAACGGGGTGGCGGGGGGAAGAGCTTCTCTTGGCACAGCACTGGGGCACGAGAACCTAACCAGAGAACCAAGACCTGTCCAGAAGATTGTGGCAACGAGCCAGAGGTTGTGGGCGCGGCCCCCCACCCCCACCCCGGGCTGACGCGCCCAGGACACATCCCTGCACTTCGGAGCCAGCCGGTCGCCACAGGGCCGCTGGGCTCCACCAGCCACCCTGGGTTCCCTTCCTGTGGCCTCCCGGCTGGCATATGGACGGTGTCTGTCCTCTGCGGGCTGAGCTCCACACCAGCACGGGCAGGACCCCGCCTCCCCAAGGCTACCCAGAGCCGACACTGGTTTCGCGTGGGGCCGGGCACCCGTGGGGGCCACACAGCGGCCAGGCTCGTCCTTACTATCATCCGCACTTCAGAATTCCTTCGGGAGGAGGAAGAGACATGCACCGTGTCCCTATGCTACACGCAAGGAAAGCCCACTGTTAACGCTTAACGCACGTCCACTGCTACTGAAGACGCTTCAAAGGCCCAGAGCCCTCTCTGGAGGGGCAGCGAGGTGCCCACAGGCCGGGGACCACAGCCACCCTGCCTTTTGTCCAGTTTTAGAGACCGCTCTGTGGAGGCTGTTTCCTCTACCCCCATCTTGACATCAGGCCCTGGACCTGGGGTGTTTCTGGATACTGACATGGAGACGGGGAGCAGGGCCAGGCAAGACCCCAGAGCCTCCCAGGAAGGCGGCACCCATGTCCTCACCAGGTCCTAGCCAGGCACCTAGGCACAGGCAGGTTCCTGCAGCCAGACGCACACGCACGCACGCTCAGGCCTCGCCCAGGGCGCTGGAGCACATCCACAGGCGAGACACAGCGGGACAGGCCAAATCTCAGGACACGCGAACCTGCAGGGCCTCAGCCACCCAGTTTGCTCTTTCTGTGCCTGACGAAAGAGGCAAGAACGCGGTGTCCTGCACAGACTGTCCGGACGCCTGCGGGCAGTCACGCAGGGGCCCGTGCGGCTGGCTTCAGTGTCAGGATCGCTGGCCTCCTTGGGGACACAGGGTGGCAGGTCACTATCCACCTGGCAATCAGCACGCCAGCACCCCACAGCCTCCCGGGGTCGCCTGGTGCGGGGGGCAGCCCCGACGTGCCGAGCACCCTCCGAAGCCCACTGTGCACCCTGGGGACACACCGGCTTCGAGGCAACGTTGTGAGGGTGGACGGGTCGCTGCCTCTTCCCCTAGCATCGCCCCCAGGACGTTTTGCTGTTTGAGCTCACTTACGTTTCCCATAAGTGAGCTCAAAGGAAAACCAAAGCTAGCACCTGGACTTCCTGGAGCAAGTTACCTTCGGTCATGCAGAACACCCGGAGGAAAGCCAGGAGCTGGGCGGAGATCGGTGGCTCCGTAAAGTGCAAAGCGAAGACGCTGGACCTGACAGGGCGGGAGGCAAGATCAGCAGGCGCCCAGCCCCCTCCCGCCGACGCCCACCCCCACGCCCCCCAGGAGCGCCCCTCCGCCTATGAGCAGAGCCACAGCCGATAAGAGCTGAGCCGGCATGTGCCATTCTGGCCCCCTCCCAGCCCCCGGGGAGCTATCAGAGCACAATTTCCGGTTCCTGCAAATGCGGGGGGCAAGGCTGGCTGGCAGGGTGCTGGTCACCACCCCGCTGGCTTTTCTGAGTGGAAGCGCCTCCGTCTGGGGTCACAGACAACCCGCCCAGGAAATGAGGCTCACCCAGGGCCCTGAAAAAATGTTACCAGTAATTTAGGTTGAGTTCACATTTTAATCATTAATCAAATATTGACAAGTTCAATAAAGAAAGGTCTGGATAATCCATTTTCATTAAGAAGGGTTCCTCCTTTCCCTGGAGAACTAATAAATCATAATTCTTGCCTTCTTTATCATTTTGCACCTCAGAAGCAAGAAAGTCTTGCAGAATTTCACCAGAAATTCCTGAAATCACCAGGATCACGACTTCATTACGGAGACTAATGGCGGCAAGGAATCAGAAGGAGCCGACTGGCCCAGGCCGCAGCCTCCGAGGGGAAAGCGGCCGACACCAACGTGCGGACTGGGCGCGACGGGCCAGGCCGTCGCCAGGAGCGAGGACGCCCGGGGCTATGTTGGCATGTGGGCCTGCCAACGCCGGGGAGCCTCCGCACCTCGACCTGTGGACAAGGGTGAGGGGACACACGCGGGGGGGCCTGCGACGCAGGCGGGGCCCAGCGCACTTACGTGGGGATGCCGGCCCGCGCCAGGACCTCAGCCTTCATGGCGTAGAGCCTGTCGCTCTTGCTCACTCCCAGCTTTATTTTCACTCTGTCGTGTGAATTATTGTCAAAGAAAAAACCACTGTGGATCACAAACTCTGCATTTGACCGGGTGCCATAAAAAATGTAAATCTGAGAGAGGCATAGAGAAAAAACAAAGGGACATGAAGGAAACTTAACATCCGTCTTGCTCAGAGCCGCCCGGGGCATCACCCGCCTACTGCACGCGCTCGGCTGAGAGAGCCCGCGAGAGCGAGAGCGGAGTCTCCCAGAGCCCCAGCTGCCTGGCAGGGGACCGAGGCCGGCTGACTGCGCCCCTCCCGGGCTGCCACCTCACTGCACTTTAACCCCTGCCAGCCTGTTCTCTCCTTCTCTGCCGGGCAAGTCTCGCCCAGGCCGAGCCGCGGCACGCAGGCCGCCGCCTGGGCCGGCTGGCTGGGCGCACAGGCTGCTGCACGGGGTGGGGCAGGCCCGACCCTGCCTCGTGCACTGGCGCTCCCTTCACTCTGCCGCACCGCGGGCCGCGCCGGCCACTGTCTTTGGGCTGGGCCAGGGGCTGGCAGGGAGGCCGTGGGCACCCAGCGGCTTGTTCTCTCCGCACTGAAAGGCTCAGCCTGCCTGTTAGACAAAGACTCAGGTGAGCACAAAGGCCAAGACAGGCCCCTGGTTCCCTAGGTCTGTGCCGCTTCAATTAAACTTGCCTGGTGACGGCGGGGCTCACTGCCAGGGGAGATCCTGGCCTGCCCCCGGCCACTCACCTGCAGGCACCCGGCCACGGGCCACGCACTGGCTATCTGGGACGACATAGGTGTGGAGCGGGGCTCCAGAGAACAGTGGCCCCTGAGTGAACCCCGGTGCTCTGCCCACGTGAAGTTCCTGTCTAAGTCCCCTGGGCCCAGGCCCCACCAAGACCCGCCGGAGACAGCGCCCAGCAATCCACCTGCTCGCCGGCGCGGAAGTCCCGCAGGGCCACACACTCGCAGCGGTCATCCTCCAGGTTGTAGCCGGTGGTGATCTGGACATGAGAAAGGGCAGGACACAGCCAGAGTGGTCACTCTCCCCCGCCACACGAGGAGAAGTGCTCTCCCAAGGGGCCGGAAAGGAAGCGTGCTGGATGCCTCGGGAATGGACAGAGCGCTCAAGGCCCCCAAGGAAGATGCCGGGCTAGCGCCCCAGGCGGGCGGAGGGAAGGAGCGGGGCTGCGCGTCCTCTCGGCAGTATCCTCCCGCCCCTCCCTCTGTCAGAGGGCCGGCAGAGCTCTGATTATGCAGTTACGTACACATGTCACTCTGAAGTTAGAGAAGCTAAAGCTGCCAGGTGAGCAGAGGCATATTAAACACCGGTGTGTCCTGTTCACCCCATGTGCTGTCCCCACAACGGCGTCAGCATTTGTCCCGCATGCGCTCAGGGTGACTTCCCAGGGCTGAGGCCCTGTGCTTTCTCGCCTTGCTAAGCACCTGCAAACCAGGCACGGGGTCGGACCCCGCGCGCCCCTTGCGATGAGCCTTCCAGGGTCCCTCCTGCTGAAGGCCACGCAGTGGGCCGCAGGCGCTCGGAGGAGGCTGGGCCACAGAGCTGAGCTGCAGAGCCCAGCCAGGAGCCCTGCTCCTCCCCAGCGAGGCAGGTGAAAGGCTGCTGTGCACAGCAGGACGCGAGGCGCTCAAGGGAAGAGGCAGGAAAGCAAGGCAGGAAAGCCAGGCCGGAGGGAGGGCAGACAACACATCCCCTGCAGAGACAACTCAGAACCCAGCAAGCACTGAGTGACCAATGAAGCTTCTGGTGGGGGCGGGAGAAGGGACAAGGGGCTGTAAGGCATGGAGGTGGGGAAGACAGTCAGGAAACACCAGGAAAATCACAAAAAAACAAAGTTTTAGAAAAGACCATGACACCTGCATACAGTTTTACTCCCAAAAAATAAAAAAAAATAAAGATCAATTTTTACATTAAATAAATGTGTTTATTTAAGAGCTTGACGTCTGTGAGAGGAAGAACGCTGTTTGAGAGCAGAAAAGGAGCTGTGGTGGGGGAGGGCCAGCAGGGGCCATTTGTTCCATGTGTAACTTCTGGCACAGTGGTAGGCACCCCTGTCCCCCTGCTCCTAAATCCCCCACCCTTGGGTGCTTAGTGAGGGCTGTGAGTTCTCTTATGCAATTTGCCATCATTTAAAAATAAACAAACCTCACAGTGGTGCTTGCTTTCTGCCTCCAGAAAGAAATCGAGATTCCTGGGCAAGGCCATGATTCGGGAGACCCAGCCCTCCCACCACCTCCTGAGCCCCCAGGGGACTGCCTGTCGGGCCTCCATGGTGGCAGCTTCCAGGCAAGTCGAACCACCTCTGCTAGGAGCTGGCCTGAGCCTGGCTTCTTCGGGGCCGCCTCCCTGTATTTATCCCACACTCTGGCATTCCCCAAACTCCTCTGGCCAGTGTCGAGGAGAACTGTCATGAATCCCAGCCCCAGAAGTCTGGCTCCCAGGCACTGACACCCAGGGTGTTGAGGACAGAGGCAGGAGGGAGACAGGGGCAGGAGCCGGGCGGGAAGGAAAGGCAGCCATGCCACCCCCCGAGCAGATAGAGGGAGAAACGTGGACCATGGAGGCAGGGGCACAGTCAGGCGGGGCCCGAGTGCAGCAGGCGTGGCGCTCTTACACCTGGTGTGTCACGCCTGGTGCTCGGGCGGCCAGAATGGTGTCAGGCCCCAGAAGGAAGGGCCGGTGCACAGCGGTGGCCACTAGGGCGGCCAAGCCCCAGCGCTGGGGACACAGAGGGAGCATCATGGGGACAGGCTGCCTGCACGTGGGCCAGGGAGCATCATGGGGACAGGCTGCCTGCACGTGGGCGAGGGAGCATCATGGGGACAGGCTGCCTGCACGTGGGCCAGGGAGCATCATGGGGACAGGCTGCCTGCACGTGGGCCAGGGAGCATCATGGGGACAGGCTGCCTGCTTGGAGACGGAACCTCACCACGTGCAGAAACATCTGCGGTATCTCCCCTCGAACAGAAGAACCCTGACAACACTCCCCCCTCTGCCTGAGGGCTCCAGCAGCCTTTCGCCCTGCGGTAGGGCCACTTACCAATTGCAAGGGCCGGCTGTCCCAACAAGTTTTATCTGCTGGCAGAACATGGGGACAGCCGCAAGAGAAGAAGCTGCTGCTTATTTTGATTTTGAGTCATGTAAGATGTGAAGAGGTCTCATTCTCCCTAAGCTTACTGCACGCTCACGAGAGTGTGAGCACCTCTGAGCGGGGCTGGGACACCGGAGGCGCCGGCCAGCAGCCCTGGCGGTGACTGCAGCTCTCTTCTCCTGGCTGCTCCAGGCTTAGAGGCCGTCACAGACCTGATTCTCTCATTTCTATTCCCAGGACCAGATTTGGGGGACACTGTTTGAAGCACACAGCTTGCTAGGTTACAAACTTCTGCCTGCGCCCTGGGTAACCATGACTGTCAGCGCACGCACACGAGTCTCCGGCCCGGGAGCCCAGCTTGGCTCTCCGGGACTCCGGCTCTACCAGCGAGGTGAACCGCTGGAGCACGCCCGGTGCAGCTTCACCATGTTCGAGCAGATTCCTAAATTCTGACTGAAGATTCCACAATTACAACAGCAAACAGTGCAACAGGAGTGTGGGGTGGCCAGAGCTGGGAACCCCCAGAAGGCAAGCACCCC